AAACCATGATTTGCTAGTATAGTGAGCACAACTCTTGCATAGCTTGTTTTGTGAATAAGGAGGCACTATTTATTTATTGTTTGCTGAAATGTTTTATAGGTTAGCTCTCTCTCAAGTTTTTGAGCCAGTTAACAGGGGTGCAAAGGACGTGCGGCTAAAGATGGAGGTAATCAAAACGGTCTCATAAAAAGAAGCCATGACCATTTTATTAAAGAAAAAAAATCCAGGTCCTAACACCGTGATGGCGAATCTATGGCATCCGTGCCACAGGTGACACATGGAGCCATATCTGCCACCACGCAAGCCGTCAGCTCCAGCATACATGTGTACGCCAGCCAGTTGGTTTTTGGCCTTCCGGAGGGCCAGGGGAGGCCGTTTTCGCCCTCCCCAGCCTTCAGGAAAGCCTCCAGAGCCTGGGGAGGGTGAAAATTCCCCTCCCCCCATGGGGGGGGGCATGCACGCATGCGTGGGTGGAGTCAACATGCATGGTGCAGTTGGGGAGGGCGCATTGCATTGTGGGTGAGGGGACATGTGCGCACAATTTTGGCAGACGTTTACAAAAAGGTTTGCCATCACTGCCCTAACATATTTCTGATGTGTTCAGTGAGCTATTGGTAATCACGAACTAGCATACACAAAACATCAATATATGTTTCCTCCCTGGTCAGGATATGGATGAGATGGAAGCTGATATTTTGGGCATAAAGAAAACAAGCCCAAAGTCTCCTAGGAAGGCTGTTAAAGGTGTACGAAAGGCAGCAAAAACTAATATAACAACCAACCTAGAAAGAGGTGAGTGTTCTTGACTTTTGAATTAGTTTTTAAAATGACTGTGCTGTCTTGGGATACAATTGTTAATGTATGGACACTATTTCCAGTCTGAACTATTAAAATAGGCATTTTTAATGGTAGTTCTTTTTCCATCTCTTTGTCCTTGATACAATATTGATGATAAACATTTTACCCTCATTCATTCAACACTAATGCATAAAACCCAGCTAGCATTGTGAAACTGAAATTGGAAAAGCTTAAAGCTCACTATACTGAACTCCTGGGGCAAAATCTGGATATACGTAAATGAGACAAAACTGAATAACATCAGTTTGCTACTAGTGCCATGGAGACTGCTATTCTAAGTGGCATTTGACCTTTAGAGGTCACTTCTGTGCTGTGCTTGGCAGCACAATAGGTGGCCTTCAATAGAAAAGCGTGGCTACAATCAAGAAGAGGCTCACATTAGAAAAGCTGCTGCACCTGTGACGACCATGGAGTGCTTTGGAATAAAACAAAAAGATGCATAAGACCATGCAGGGGCTCTCGCACAGCACCTCTCCGCAAATCTATAAAGCAGCTTTCTCTTTTTCTGAGGTTGTGTGGCTGTGACTGGCTTCTGCAGTTGCAGCTTGATACTGGGAGCACGTTTCATTTAAAGCAGAGGTCCCCAACCTATGCGGCTTGGGACACAGCAGGGAAGTAACCAGGCCGTACACAGGGTCATGCACACCAGCCATTGCTCATGCAAGTCAAGCTGACTGTGCACACGTGTGTGCTAGCCTGCTTGTCCCAAGGCCCAGTTCTGAATAGGCCATGGCCTA